CGTCCTCCTCCTCCTCCTCGTCCTCCTCCTCCTCCTCCTCCTCCTCCTCCTCCGCTCCTCCGTTTTCACCTTCCTTGCGTTCCTCTTTTCATCGGCTTCGTCCCCGCTCTCGCTCGCACCCCCGCTGCTCCTACTTCTGCGGGCCATGGCACGGGCGCCCTACTGGTATCATTTGCATGCCCTGCATGTCAAGGTGCCCTTCTTCTCGTCACGCGTGACGTGGCTCGCGTCCACGGAGGAAGGCGACTTCGGCAATTTCTTCTGGCGCTTGCCGCTGCGCTGAGGGAGCGCCAACTGCGCGACGTGAACCCGTCGGCAATGCAAAATGCGCATGCAACATTACTCTTTTTTCCGTGAAGTGCTCGCTCTCCTGTTTGGCGCTTGCGCGCCCCTGTCGCGCGAATTTTTCCTTGCGCGCTGCGCGCGTCAGCAGTCGCTTCAACCGCTTCGACATATCGGCCACGCCCTTCGCGGTTGCGCCCCCCGCTTATGACAGCTTTCGCGCGCCGCTCTTGCTCTTTTCTCCGTTCGGTGGCCTTCCATTTGGTTGCGGTTCGAATGGCCGACCTCCCAGAAGGACGCCCCGCAACTGGGCGCGCCGCGCGTCGGCGGCTCTGCTTCCGCCTCCGCTTTCCGTCTGCGATTCCCTGCTTCGTAATTTGTCCACGGCGCCGCCTTCTCCCGCTTCTCCGCGCACTTCCGGCGCAACCTCTCCCCCGCCGCGTCGCGCTTCTTCGGGGCTGCCGACGTATCCACCTTCTCGTCGTATAGCGGCAGGCACTTGTCGTTCGAACATCACACTGCTCCGACGCCCTCGTTCAACTTCGCGTTGCCGCCGCGGCGTCTGCCTGGTTTTGACATGGCTGCACTTCGCGCAGTGTATTGTCCGAATACTTTTTGCCTCCCCATCGTCGGCCGCTGCGTCCCCTCTCCGACCGCTGACGTGCCGCGTCGCACCGTTATCCTCCGCTTTAGATGCCCACGCTCTGCGCGTTGTGCACCATGTCTCGTCCGCGTTTTTCATCTCCCCCGTGCAGTCTCTGCAAAGCGCCAGCCTCTGCTTCCTCTGGAACTCGTACTTCGTGAACGCCTCTACCAGCAAACTCCGCGGGCAGCGGTCGCACTGGTCTCGGGGCATTAGTTCCGCCCCCCGCTCATCCCAATCTACGCCCCCCCCTCGCAGCGCCTGCAAAAGCTTTTTCGTGCCAGCCATCTCACCTTCGTTGTGCGGTTTCCTATCATAGGGCCAGAAAATCAACGGGTTCTCTCGCCTGCGCACGCGCGTGATGGCAACGTAACTTGACTTCCAACTCGTGCCGCGCGTTCCCTTCGAGGTCCGCTATCACTGCCCCCTGGGTCAGGCCCTGCGCTGAGCGCGCCGTCGCTGCCAAAGACGGGGTTCTCATAAATTGGGTGCGTTTCGTATGCTGGATGCTTCCGATGCCCGTCCAAGAACCATTGACGCCCTTTCGATGGGAAGATAGGATACAGACCCGGCTCCCAGCCTGGCAGGTGCCACTCCTTCGTATGAAAGTCCAACACAGTCGCTCTCGGTAGATGCACCAAGATTTCTTCGTGTTCATCTCCCAGGACCTCGTCCTCGTGCAACGCCCGTCCATGGATAGTCGCGGTGCGCCCCCGCAACAGCTGCTGCCTCGACCGATCCAAGTGATCTGCCAAAGCTACCGGCATCCCCTTCGCCAGGGGCAACCACCCCGGCAAGCTTGCGCACTCCTTGTCGTGGTACCCCAGCCACCGTATTTCGTCCTCCACCGTGTGCGGGCGCCTCTGCTCCCTGCCATGGCTCGGGCGATCGCTGGCTGCGACCCAAAGCACCTGTTCCTCTCGCTCATTTGCCCACTGCGCAGCTCTCTGCTTCCCGTCGTGGCAACGACTGTCCTGGTTCGCATTAATGGCGCCGGCGTCGACAAATGGTTCCTCGCGAAACCGCGCGTGTTCTGGCGACGTCACGACGAGCTTGTCCCTCTCTCGCTCAACTTTGCATTCCTCACACTCTAGCCCATTCTGTTTCGCAAATGCCTCCGCGGCACGGCGTGGATCATAAAGGCCGGAGAGGGGCGTTCTCTGGGATGATGCTGGGGCGTCCTGAGGCCCTCAAGCGTTCTCAGTAATAGGTATTATTGATGATCGAGTACCAGATGGCCCCATGCCTAGATGTGCCGCGACTTAGGCAGCGCTTGTCGCCCGATGATTGGAAGTTCGCCGACCCCTTGTGGGTGTCTAGGCGTGTGAAAATTTTCTCCCCTCCATACTCCCCCGCACCCCCTTGGGACCACAAACCGGAAATGTGACCCCCCCACCGGCCGCGGACGACCCACCCCCGAATTCACCACGGGGGATCAAGGCGTCCCCGGGCTCCCTTTAGAGCTCCATAAGAGCCCTTGAAGCTTCCCAAGAGGGCCTCAAATCGCCGAAAGCAAGATGCCCCAAGAGACCTACAAGTTGCTCCTGGAGAACGGCCCAAGACGACAACATCGTCTAATTCCATGGGGTTAACGTATACGTGGGCCACAAAGCACCCAAGAAGGCTCCGAAACGGCCCAGGAGACCTCCCCGACGGCCAAAAGAAACGCCAAGACGGCCCAAGAGGCCCCATGGCCGGCCAAAGAAGCCTCCAAGCCGGCCCCAACAAGGACGCAAAAGGGGAACCCCGAACCGAAAATTCGAGCCTTCCGCCCCACGAAGCCTCTAAACACCGAGAAACACCATCAATACCTTGAATCTACTTAGCGGTCGGCGGCTGTGGCGTAGGCCTATAGAGTTCACGTCCCGAGGTGACGCGTTGCCGGAGGCAGGTCTGCGGAGGCGATAATGCAATGTATCCGATGTATCCAATGACTGCACACTTGCTGCATATTGTATTGTGTTGCGTTCTTATGTCCCTCCCTGACCCCCCCCCCGAGGCCACGCCACTTCCACCGACTCAAGGTGGCCCCTCCCCTCCTGGGCCTAAAAACGTACCACAAGTCATAACAAATCAATTAGTTGGGCCTGTTGGCCCTTTTGGGGGCCCAACAGGGCCTCAAGACGGCTCGAGATGGCCCCAAGACGGCCCAAGACGGCCCCAAGACGGCCCAAGATGGCCCCAAGAGGGCCTACAAAGACCCCAAGACGCCCCAAGATGGCCCCCAGAGGACCCCCAAGAGCACCTCCAGAAGCCCAAAACCATTGATTTTCCCATGCGTTCCCGCCTACTATGAGTCGCGGATGTCCAGGACGAGATGCCCCAAGAGGCCCCCAAGACAGTCTCCGAAGGGACCAGACAGCGCAAGAGCGCCCCCTAGGCGCCCACACCGGGCTCCGAGAGGCCCCCTGGCGGCCTCCCAGAGGCCCCGAAGAGGCCTCCCAGACGCCCCCGCGAGGACCCAAGAGGCCCCACAGAGGCCTCCAAGGGGCCCGCAAGAAGTTCCCAGAGGCCCGACAACGACTGGACTGTACGTGCTCTGGACGTGCACCCCGCGAAGCGAGAGGAATCTCACAATGTGAAAAATATCGAGCACGACGACCGTCCTGCGGATAGCCGCTGGGCAAGCATCGTCTGGTGGGGCACGTTCCTGCTCAGCGCCCAGTCCCCACACGACGAGTAAGCGGGACTCGGCATGGCGCGGGGGAGGGCAGTGAAGTGCGAGAAATGGGGGTGCCGCCAATAGTGGCACATCGAGTCCCATGTGGAACAACCGATGTGGCAAGGACGCGGCTTCAGGACGTGCGTTCTGTCGGAAGTGATCCATCCCGCGCAGAGCGTCTTCACGACGCATCGCTGATGGGCCGGCAGACATGTGCGCGAGCTCACGCCCCAGGGACTGCCAGCGGAGATCGACTCAGCACTTTAAAGCGCGTGGCGATGGTGGATGCGAAGGTGTTGGGAAACGTGGACGAGACCCTCCTCCTCCTTCCTCCTCCTCCTCCTCCAGACAGCGAGCGACGGCCCGCCGAAAACCACCCGGCACGCCCGACCAGACGGAGTGCGACCTGTTTTGGCCTGACCTGGCCCTACGAGAGCTAGTGGAGAAGCTCGCGCCACTGCGCACTGCCCGCATGTGCGCGACACGAGCCGAACCGAATCCGATTTCCCAGGGGGGCTCTGCTTCACTCGGTCTCACACACCCAACCTTCGATTCCATCGTGTTGGCTATAAGAGGGAAGACGATGAGGAGGAGAAGAAGGAGAAGGAGGAGGAGGAGGAGGATGAGGAGTAGGAGGAGAAGGAGGAGGAGGATGGAGAGGGTGGGCAATTGCTGGCGCCCCTGGTCACCGCATCTTGCCTCGACGAGGAGGGACCCCGAGAGAAACGGTGTCCTGCACACCCGGGGGCCCCCCAGGGACCAGCCATTCATCCAGAGTCTCTCTCGGACGGTGCCAGAGCCCAGGAAGGGCCCCGAGAGCCAGACCACTTTCCTTGAGGACCCGTCTGTCCATGGCGATTCGTTTCCGCATCGCGCTTCCTTTGGGGGCAACGATACGGGGCGAGCAGCCTATGGGGCGGGAAAGAGCATGGTGAGTGGTGTCAGCATCCCAAGCCCCTGCAAACGGGGCGTTGGTAAACGGGCCAGTAGCTAAGGGTGCGTTTCACTAGTTTTTTCAAACCAATGACTTGACGCACCCAAGTGCGATGTACCCCCCTGGCCCAGAGTTACGATGATGCATCGACGTTTTGGTCGTCTCGATTCATCACGCACCAGTGCTAGGTAAATGCCCTGACTCCCCCTTCTCGCTTGAAGAGGCCCCTCAGCTCCCGCCCCGTTTGCAAAGTCTTCGGGATCTCGCTTCCTCTGCGGCCCGCCGGCCCTGAGCTCGGAGGTGACGATAGAGGCGAATAGCGCAGTGGCGGGCGTTACACGTATTAGCCTGGGAGCCTCGCCGAAGGCGTGGACCATCGGCGCCCCTGGATACACGTACTGCTCCCCCCTGGGCTCTTCGCCCCCCTCGTCGCCTCCGATGAGCCCCCACCCCAGGCGGGGGCGGCCGAGGCCGCCCACGTATCCGCTGATGCCAGCGCGCCGCAGCCCGCGGTCGACGCCCTCGCGCAGGGCCGCGGCCCCCTGGGCGCGTCGGGCGGAGCGGGAAGAGCGGGTCCCCGTCGACGACGATCCTGAGGACATGTGTTGGCGCCAAGGTGCCCCCGTGAGCGCCTTTGTTAGAGGGCAGGAAGTCCACCCCGATAATATCCACCCCGACACGCGAAGCCGTTTAGTAAACGCACCCAAAGAAGGAATCAAACAGGGCAAGGCTTTTTAGTAAACGCCCAGGGCCGTTTAGTAAACTCCAGTTGTCCGATCAGGGTGTTTTTTTCTCCCTTAATATGTTTTAGCGGCCATCACGGGCGTTATGGGGGGGCATGACGTAACCCGCCCCCCTTTTCGTGTGGTTCTGGCATCACGGCGCCTGTGCGCATCACAGCAAGCAGCACAGTGCGCATGACAGTCTGCACCGCTGCAGCCGCGTGCAGCACATCTCCTGTGTTCTGCGCAGCGCACGCGTGCAGCACCACAGTATTTCTTTCCGCACCCTCTTTCGAGCATTTGCTGGACGACGAGGGCGCCCGAGCGCCAGACGACGACAAGAACGACGACGACGAAGATAAGGCCGAGGACAGGACGGGGATGACGACGACAACGACGAGGACGAGGAGGAAGAGGACGACGGACGCCTCTGAAGGTCTCCAGAGGTCTCTGGATGCCTCGGGGTTTCTGGAGACCTCTGTAGGCGCCTCGAGGTCCTTCGAGGCCGTCGGCGACGAGGACGAGGACGAGGACGAGGACGACGAGAGGGACGGGGACGAGGACGGGGACGAGGACGACGATGACGACGAGGACGACGACGAGGACGACGGCCGCCTCTAGAGGCCCTTCGAGGCCCCCGACGACGACGCCAAGGACGAGGACGATGACGACGAGGACGGAAACGACGACGACGGCGACGAGAACAACGACAACGACGACGACGAGAAGGACGACGACGACGAGGACGAGGACGACAACGAGGACGATGACGACGACAACGACGAAGACGGCTGCCTCTGGAGGCCTCCGGAGGCCTGAGGCCTCTGGAGACCTTTGGAAGCGCCTGGGGGCCGTTTGAGGCCCTCGGCGACGACGGCGAGGACGACGACCGCCGCGAGGACAGGGAGGACGAGGACCACGACGACAGGGACGAGGACGAGGACGGGGACGGAGACGAGGACGAGGACGACGGCAACTTAAGCGACGACCACGACGACGCCGACGGCGACGCCGACGACGACGCCGACGACGGCAACCTGACGACGACGACATCGACGACGACGACGCCGACGGGGACGAGGACGACGACGGACGCCGCTGAAGGTCTGCAGAAGCCCCCCGAGGCCTCAGGAGATCTCTGGAGGCCACTGAAGCGCCAGCAGGCCCTGCGAGGCCCTCGGACACGACGACGAACGTTCAAGTAGCCTACACGCACCACAGGGGCCTGTCACAGTGGCAGTGCCAGAGGCGCACAATGGGGGGGAGGGGGGGCAGCGTTACGCTGTGGGGGGATGGTGAGGGGGGGCATGACGCGCGTTATGGCCCAGAGGCTTTGAATACACGCTCTTTCTTGGCGCCAGCGCGTGCTTCAGTAAAGCGCAGGCGGTGCCACGAGGGCCGACACAAGTTGTGTGCTGTCGGTGGCGCTGGACGGACGGACGACGACGACGACGACGACACATTGGGCGAACACGCGTCCTGAGGACCATCGCGCCTGGGCGCGCTCACACGTCCCCGACCCTCAGCGGCACGGAAGAACGAGATGCCTCTTCACCGTTCTGGGCCCTTGAGGGCACGCCTGCACTTCTTGAGGCGCCCCTCCCTGCAAGATCGTCAGGCACTTCGGGAGAGAATGTCGGGGAGAATGAGCGGGGTAGTCATGAGCAGAGGGGATACGAAGAGGACGGAAGCTCAGCGCGCGGATCCCCCAATGTGGCCGTTTCCTGAACAGTCGGTGCGGGCCCGAGCTTCAGACACCGCGTGACGCGTGAGCTGTGCAACATCACACGATCTGCGAACTCGGAGGTCCTAAGAAGCTGGCAGCCTCCTCCGATTTCTGTACGGATCTCGCACCGTGTGCTGTTCCCTGTGGGTCCTGGGCAGGCCCCCAGCAGGTGCGCACCCTCGGACGCCGGCCGCACCAGCGTCGCAACCGCGCCGAGGTGGCACCAACCTGCCGCGCCAACCATCCAGATGCTCTGCTTGCATCTATAGAACGAAGGAAAAAACATAAACATAAATCTTTGGCGCTCCGCGCGGATTTCTCGGACTCGCGCGGGACCCCCCTCCCTGGCGCGCGGAGCGCGCCAGAGGCGACGCCGGAGGCGCCGCCAGGGGGCCCGGGCGCGGATCCGAGAAATCCGCGCGGAGCGCCAAAAGTTTATGTTTATGTGGCTTGTTTCTTCTTCGAATCTGCCGCGCATTCTCTTTTCCCTCCAGGGGCGGCCTCCAAGCTCGTCGTGCGTCGTGGTGTGTGTGTGTGTGTGTGTGTGTGCCCTGTGCCGGCGCGAGCGGCGCGCAGACCGCGGCGCGTTGGCCGCGGTCCGCGCCGCGCGGGGCCCCGACGAGAGCTGGCCATCGCTCGGACGTCCATTCCCTGTGCTTTTTTCGGTTTCGTGCGTGGTTTCTTCGCAGGATGATCCAGGATGCTCCTCAATAACCCCCGCCGAGAAAACATGCACACGTCCGAGCGATACCAAGAGAGAGGAGAGACGCCGGAAGAGCACGGCGCCCGCCTCGGATCGCATGTGGATCAACACCGCCCTTTCTTGGAGAAACCGCCGCCGCACTTTCCAGCGGTGAGCGTGTGGCGTTCTCCACTTCTCTCCTGCAGCCGCGGTGAACTCCTCCCGTGGTCGTGGGTGTTCCCTCCCTCCCTGCCATCCATGCTCGGTTGGCCGATGCCCGTAGGTTCGCACACCAAGCCATTGAGGCCCCTGCCGCTTTACAATTTCTCCGCCTCGTCGACGCGCGCGAGGCCGCTGCCGCCAAAAGTGTTTGTGTGTTGCTTACCTCGCACGTCCGCTTTTTCTGCACGCGCAGCCCCCCTCGGTTGCCCCCCATCGGCAGATGCTCGGTGGCAAGCAACTTCGCATCATCCGCTGGCGCCCTCGCTGAGTTGGACCAGCCGGCCGCGAAGCAACACGTCTGCTGCACGCGTCGACGCGTCCACGGCTCCTTCGGCTCTGTTGGCTCCTCGTGCCCTCGCAAAGCGTGCCGAGGCCGCGGCCGGCCCGAGGAGGAGGAGGAGGAGGAGGAGGAGGAGGAGGAGGAGGAGGAGGAGGAGGAGGAGGAGGAGGAGGCGGAGGAGGAGGAGGAGGAGGAGGCGGAGGAGGAGGAGGAGGAGGAGGCTGGCCCCCGCACGGCGCGCAAGACTCTGGCCGCTGCACCTCCTCCACCAGATCGGCTTGCGCCAGCGGTCTCGCGCCAACGGCGTGGGCACCTGCGCCCGCGGCAGGTCGGCCCGCCGCCCGCCGCCCACCGCGCCGCGCGCCTCTCGCCTCGCCCGCTCGCCTCTGCCTCTCGGCCGACCGCTGCTGCTGCGCCTCCCCGCCCCCCCCTCCGGGGGGTGCTGCCCCTCGGCCTTCGCCACCGCGGCTGCCCCGAACCGGACGCGAGCCTCCCCCGCGCCTCTGCCCGCCCCGCAGGCGGTGTGCGAGCGGCTGTCTTCCCCCCCTCGTCTCCTCAGGAGCCTCGCCTCTTCCCCGCAGCGATGGTCCAGGCCTCCCCCCCCCGAGCCCCCTCGACGCAGCGGGCCGAGCGCGCGTTCGTGCTCTGGGGCTCCGGGCCCCTGCCCGTGCGGCCCGGCGCGCGACAAGGACGCCCGGATCCAGCGTCTCGGGCGGGGCCATGCGTGGAATGCTCCCGCTCCTGAGCTCCCCCCCCTGCCCCCTCCGGCTGGCCCTCCCTGCCCCCAAGGGCTCCCCCAGCGCGGCGGCGGACTCGCGCGGTGGCGCAGAGAAATTTCGATGTCTGAAGAAGCGTCGCCCGATCTAGAAAATTCAGGTGAAGAAGCGTCGCCCGATCTAGAAAATTCAGGCCCTCTCCCACAAGAGCCCAGCAAGCGGCGGATCGAGCCTGCTCCCGCGCCACTTTCACACGTTGCTGTGCTGCCTTGGCCGACCAAGCCGAAGCAAAAGCCCAGCTTACATATCCGCCACCGTGCCTCGAGCACGTAGTGGAGTGGCCGAGTAACTCATCGATGCTTAAAGCAAGATCCGCGCCCCCGATTTGCAGGAATTCCTGGGGGCTCCTGGGCTCTGCAGGGGTGAACCGCAGCGCTAAACCTTTGGAAATCATGGTATTTTCAATGCTTCTGCTTCAGAGGGTGCGCTGGGCCGCGCCCAGGGCGTTCCCACCCCAATTGGCCCCAAGACCCTCCAAGAGGCTTCCACGAGGCCGACAGAGGCGCCCAGGAGGTCCCCCCAGGGAACCCTCAATCAGCCCCCCCCCCACCCAGCCTCCCTCCCCCCCCAAAAGAACAACCCAATAGGCCTTCACGAGCCAATTACGGTGGCGGGATGGGCCGAAGGCCACTGGATCCGCCGCCCCCTGTCGATTCATCGCATGGGTGCCTGGCGTGCCAAACTATATGGTTTTGGTTTTGGTTCTTTTTGCAAAAGAACTCCCCCTGGGGCTTCGGCCTGTCCCGCCGGGGTCCTGGGAGATTGCCGAAAACCTGGTTGCAAAGGTTTTTCCTGCTCCAGACGGCTCCAACAAGGCCCAAGATGGTCTCCAAGATGCATCCAAGACGGCCAAGATGGCTTCCAAGACGGCTAAGATGGCCCCAAGATGCCTCCAAGACGGCCCAAGATGCACCGAAGACTGCCTAAGATGGCCTCGAGATGGCCCCAGACGGCCCAAGAGGCCTCCAAGACGGCCCAAGAGGCCTCCAAGATGGCCCAAGAGGCCTCCAAGAGGCCAAATTCATTTATTGTCCCTAGGTCTTTTACTGATTTGGGCATGTTGGCCTTTTCGGCTTTCCGACGGCCCAAGACGGCCCAAGAGGCCCCCAAGATAGCCCCAAGATCGTTCCCGAG